AAATATATAAACTGTAAAATACAGATTCTATAAATATATTTTATTCCCAAATTTAAAAATTTTCATTCAATATCAATTTCAAGATAGTATCAGGTGAGTTCTGAACCAATTTGTGGGTCAGAGCCACAGTTATAGATCTTCACACAGTAGAATCAGCTAGCTAGGTGTGGGAGTGTGAGGTACGTGTGTGGGAGGTGACAATAGTTACATCAAATTAATTCTGCAGCTGGATCTGAAGTTCCCATTCCTAATTAAGGCATAGGGAAATTATTCACATTTCCACATCTCAAATTTAAAAATCTACCCTTATTTTCTAAGGATGTGCTACATTTACATCACAAACAAAAAAAGAGACTTTATGTCGAAGAAAAACTTAAAGACATGACTTTATTACAGTTTTAAATACAAACTTAAGGAGTCTATTGACTAAAGCTATTAGTAATTTTTTTTAAATCTTTAAATTCTTTATTAGTTAAGGAATTACAAATGTGTCCTCATTCCCCCCATTAACCCCCATCCTCCCCCCCCAAAGCTATTAGTAATTTACTGGCGATTATAATTCTTGAAATGTCTTCTGCTGTGGAGTTACATAAAACATGTGCTTAAACATTTCTTATGAATGACATATAAACAAGTTACTATCTATTCAGTTCATTTTGAGCATGTATTTGAGCTCACTATTGTAGGGGAGCCAAAATGAACTACAGTGATTCTTGCATAAAGATAAAACTCAGCAATCATTGCATAGAAAGTCCTTAGTTAAGGTAGTATAATTATTATGTGCACGTTAATAAGCAATCATATTAGCATAAGAAAATTCCAAGTAATTTATGAATCACACTGACATATTTGGATTAATTCCTCTATTCAGTGAAGTTATTAAAGCATATCCCTTTATTTTGACTAAATGCAATTTACTGAGTGAAATTTATATTCTCTGCCAGTATTAATGTAAGAGAATGTGGTGAATGAAGATGGGGACATAAAAATTATGTTAAGGTAGTAAATGTTTGAGCTGATAAATGAATATTTTTGCTTTTCAGATAAAACTATGGTTTGACAAGGTCGGTCACCAACTCATAGTTACAATTTTGGGAGCAAAGGATCTCCCGTCCAGGGAAGATGGGAGGCCAAGGAATCCTTACGTTAAAATTTACTTTCTTCCAGACAGAAGGTAGGGATAGGAAATAAAAAAATGTTTTTGAAAGTAAGTGAGAAACGTTAATAGCAATGAGTGTTTTTATTCTGTATCATTTATTTTTATCATACCTTTCAGATACTTATGAAGTTTAACATAAGCATAATCATTCTTAGGATTCAAAATAGTGACAGTAGATACTTTGGGATTGTTTTTAAAATTTATATCAAATGTCTATAATATATATTATTTTATTGCCTATTTATTTCTGGTTGTGTGTATTATTTCTTAAATAATATGTTTTGTTTATCAAAATTACTAAAAATTTGCCTCCTTTAAATAAATTGTATTTTCAACACACTGCAGAGGCAAACGCTAGAAATGGTTCTAAAAGGTACTACTCATCGTATTCCTCTATAATTTCTATCTTCTCTTGCAAAGATACTATTTATTTAAATTCTGTAAAATTAATGAGTGTACTTTTAATTTCATCACCCCATGTAATCAAGGAAATTTACCATTTGGCCCAAAATCAGCTTCTTCAAGTGTCATCATGTGCGTGTCCTTGCTAATCAACATAAATGATGTTCTACCCTGATTTAAATAATTAGGATTGAAGAAAAAACTTATCAAAAATTATCTGCTAATCACCGTAAATTTCAGGCACATGAGCAATAAAAGAGATTATTCAATAACATGATGGAAAAAGAAAACAGTAAATGCCCCAGTTATCCTCCCCGCATCTGTTCTGCATCCTGCTGTCAGGGCAGGGTGTTCTCAAGGTCTGCTCCTTTCTCTCAGGTTGGAAATGACTGGGCACAATGTGATCTTATTAAATATGTTTCTACACTTTTCGGCCCTCATCTACTTAGTTTAGGTCTTCCAGGTTGAGTTGGGTGTCAGAGTACCCTCTGAAGAACAATTTCAGCCAAGAAAAAGATGAAAAGGATGAAAGAATTAAGAAAGGCCTTACATTTTATGATACACATTTTTTCTTTTTTTTAAAAAAAAATATACTTTATTGATTTTAGAGAGGAAGGGAGAAGGAGAGAGAGATAAAAACATCAATGATGAGAGAGGATCATTGATTGGCTGCTCTTGCACGCCCCCTACTGGGGATCAAACCCTCAACCCAAGCATGTGCTCTTGGCCGGAATCAAACCTGGACCCTTCAGTCTGCAGGCCAATGCTCTATCCACTGAACTAAACTAGCTAGGGCTATGATACACATTTTGAAGTGAAAGTTGTCATAGAAATTTCTCAGAAAATATGTCAAGGGGGGGACAATTTCTAAAATTGTCAGAAGTTATTTGCTATCTCATTTTATTTTACAAAGTTTGCTTGAGGATAGTTGTTCTCTAACAACTTAGGTTGTCTTTTGGATGGGGAGACCCTTTGAACTGCAATGGAGGAAGAGGACATCCATGACTAGAGTGTTAAATCTAGGTTAAACTTCAGTTTGCCTTATTAAATTCTAATCATATCTGCCAGGTTTGCAAAGAACTTCAGAGATTATCTAGTCTCCCTCCCACCCAGTACAAAAGAAATCCCGTCTGAAATAGCCATTCTTTGAGAGCTTTCTTCACTCCTTAGGAGGAAGTCAAGGCTGCTGCTTCTATTCCCTTTCAGATCACAGTATAGACCACTCTTGAATTAGATAGCAAGGCTCCCACTAAATACATGCTTTCTTACTGTCTTTCATGGAAGGAACTTTGTCTCTTGACAGTTTCATAATTCATTCTGTAATGGATGGATATAAGTAGATGCTTTAAAATATTAGTTAAAATTTTAGAATGACTGGAGTGAGAGAAAACTATCACAGTGAAGTGGTGAACATCACAATTTACTAGAGTTTTTGGTCAATTGAGACTCTGGCAGTTTAAGTGAATAGTACGTATATGAAGAGTTTTTGGTTAATTAGCATTTGGAAGGTTTCCAATTGGGCAATATGTTAAAAAAATTTAGGAATAAGATTCAGTAGTCTTATTTAGGTTTTGAGATGGATAAAGTATTCAATTATCTCATGGAAAATTTTCAAACTTATTGAAATGTTGCTATTATTAAGTCAATACACAAAGGTGATATAACTATACAACTTAAAAATTTTAATAGTAATTTTAAAGATTACAACATTTGTAATTTTGGACAAATTTGTGGCAAAACTTTACTTGACCTTTTTCCTGGGAAATTTTACATTAATAATTGTATGGCAAATTTAAAATAAAGTTTTATATAAGTTCATATATCCTAATTTTTTCATAGCGATAAAAACAAAAGAAGAACGAAAACTGTAAAGAAGACATTGGAACCCAAGTGGAACCAAACATTCATTTATTCTCCAGTCCACCGGAGAGAATTTCGGGAACGAATGCTGGAGATTACCCTTTGGGATCAAGCTCGAGTTCGAGAGGAAGAAAGTGAATTCTTAGGAGAGGTATGTGCCATCCCCTAATATATTCTTTAATATGACTGCCAGTAAAAATTTATATTTTGATGGAATCAATTTAGCTACTGCTTTAAGACAGAACTTATTGATGTCACAAAAAACAATGGTTCTAAATACTCTGTGACAATATTTACATGTTTATTCTTATTGTATTTTTATGTCTCATTGTTGAATGATAGGAGTTTCACAAATATATATATTGCTGTTTTATAATGTGTGCATATCATTTTAGTTTACTGAACCAGTCGTACTGCTTTTAGGTCAGTCATTTCGTCCTGGATTTTGTTTAAGCTTTGTAATATACCTGTAATATGCTAGGCTCTCATGCTTCCAAGGTGAATACAGCATGTTACTTCCTTCAAGGAATTTATAATCCACTGGGACTCCAGATGAGTGAATAGGCAATTATAGTATAGGATGGCAAATGCTGTTACAGAGTAATGCAATAGGAGTATGTACATATTTGCTGTTCCAAGGAGGGGAAAGTGGTCCAGGTAACGCTCCACAGAGAAAGCGGAATGTAGCAAGGTCCAGGGGAGTGAAATTTCTGAAGGGGGAATAACAAGACACTAGCGTTGAGGGGGTCTTGACAACGGCACTGAAGCTGGAAGGGAAAGTGGTAAGAAGTGAGACTTGAAGGTTAAACTGACACCGGATTGTGTCCCTTAACCCGTCACATTAAAAAGTTTGGATTTTATCCTGTGGGTAATGGGAACCAGTGGTAGATTTTAAAAAGAGAATGGCTTGATTGCCTTGGACTTGAGAAAAATGTTTTAGTGCAATGTGGAGAATTAATTAATTGGAGAGGGGCAAGATGAGGGGCAGTTCTTCAGCTATTAACACACTAAGTTACCTGCTTTCAGCACTTTTCAACATGATTCGTTTTCCTGAGTAAATAAAATGGTAACCTCCTGGGAAAACCAACAACCTTCAGAAATGTTAAACTGAATGTCAGTAGCGAAGTAATCAAAGAGTAATAAGCCAGTTAGGAAGAAGGGTGACATAGTTGTCAGGACAGCTGTCTGGGTCTTGCATTTGTGGCACTTCTGCTTCCTAGCCTGTGTCCTTGAGCAAGTTATTAAATCTATTTCTCTTTCAGTTTCCTCTTCAACCAAGTAGGAATGCTAGGAGTTAATATGAGGATTAAATAAGTGTATGTGTATGTGTCAGAATTTGGAATACAGGGCCTATAACTTTGAAAATGACTAGGGAAAATTTGGGAAGAATGAAAGAACTTAGCTATTTTGCTTCGTTACCTCCCATAGCTAAATAGTGATTTATCACTAAATAGCAGTTCTCATGTTCCTAAGCATAAATGCTGTCGTATTTGTACCTGACTCTAAAAGAAAATAAAAGGAGTTATTTATTTCTATGAACTAGTTTCCTGTTAAAATTTATTAAACATTTATATTTTAAAATGCATATTATAGTATGTTTCATTTTTAAAAATCAAATGTTCCTATTTTGAATCTTTAGCAGCATATATTGAACAGAGTTTTATTTGGTTCATATTATACCTCTTTCACTTACCAGCTGATGTGAGCTGAGACAAGCTCTTTTAAACCTTTTTTAGCCTTGATATCCTTTTCTGTAAAAGTTGAATAAGCAAGACCAAACTAGTAGGTTGTTTTTTTCCCCCCAGAAAATGTAGGCAACATATAACATGGTTTTTAATACCCATTAGACACTTCTAATTTGGTTTTCTCTCTCCGTTTAGAGTTTATGAAAAGGCTAAATTAATGAATGAAAATGCTTTTTAAATTATAAAATACACTAGTATTATTAGACACTTTTAATAATAGGTGTTATTTCTCTCATAGCAAATTCAACAGCCTCTAGTAAGTGGTTAGTCGAAATAAATTTAAATATCTCAGATATTTAAAACTTTTAAATAATTAAGAAGTTATAAATATTTATCTTATTTATTGTGAAAACATATGAATAACTTTGCTTTGGATCTAATAGCATTACTATTATATTTTAAGAGAGTTTCTGTATTATTGGTATATAACGGTTTTTTGTCTCTTGGCTTTGTAGATTTTAATTGAATTAGAAACAGCATTATTAGATGATGAGCCACATTGGTACAAACTTCAGACCCATGATGTCTCTTCCTTCCCACTTCCCCATCCTTCTCCATACATGCCACGAAGACAGCTCCATGGAGAGAGCCCAACACGGAGGCTGCAAAGTAAGTTTTCAGTAAAATTTATATCTTTATTGAATTATCTTGAATGATAGATATGACATGGAATTTGAAGATATCTTTATGGGTATTAACAGGTATCTCAGTGCTTTCATAGCTGTTATTGAAACCTTTAATTGTTTGATACACTAAAATGAGGTTATACCTATATATAGTATGTATAGTCTGACCCCGAATGAAACAGTTATTTTTGATTCATTGATGAGTAATGTTATTCATTACTTTCCTGAAACATTAGTTTGAAAATGTATTTGGATGTTTAAGTCTTTATTGTTTTATATTCTTTATTGTTTTCAGTTAAAGTTGTGTAGCATCTTAAGGTAAAAATCTTCTTTTTTAACATGACAGAAATCATTTATAAATTTATTATTTGATATTAACTATTTTCATAACATTTGAACTGCAAAAGTTCAGTTAGAGATTTCTTTAATTTGATACTTCATTCTTTGTCTCATATCAACTAGATTCATTTGTTAAAATTCTCAAATAATTCTTTACTTAGTAAAATGTAATATTATCACCCTTTCAGTTTTTAAAATAGAAAACATCATACCTATTATACTTTCATTCAGCCCATCACCAGTCTTTGAAGAAGAGTGAATGGAAACAAATTATTGAGACAAAACCAAAATGATGCTGTTGCTAGGTGTAAGATAAAAGAGACATGATTTCACAATTAAGTTTTTCAGGATTTCAGCTATTTGTGTGGACATTGGAGGCCAATATTTCTTTTAATTCTCTACCCAATTGAATTTCTTTCTCTTGGATGGTAATTACATATACATATATACAGACCGCTAGATATTTTTTACTGGTGTCATTATTATCTTATATCAGGGGCAGATCTGATTCTTAATCAATATTAGAGTCATGTAATCTTTTTGCTCTGTATTATACCTGGCATATTAAAGTAAGCACATTACACTATTCTTCTTTAATCTCTCAATAACTTCATCTGTGTTATCTCTCCTCTCTTCTGAGTCTGTTTAGAATGTATGTACTAATTATATAAGCCCTTATATGCCCAGTCTGTTGGGATGTCATCAGATGATTCTAATTTGCATGTCAATTGGAGCTATTAACAGCCTCAGATTTGATTGGGTCTAAAGTTTAATGACATAGGAATTTAGAAGGAAAATAGTGAATTCATTCAGTGAGACCACATAATCTCAGATCTTTTTCTTCTACCTAACCATTAGAAGAAAAAAAACAAGAATGCAGTTCCTGGCAACAAAGACTTCCTGTCCTAAGAGGGCAGGGATTGTAACAAGCAAAACAAGAAAAAAAAGTTTATAGGGTATTTCTAATATTGGAGGGCATTCCTAGAATGTTCAAATATTGCTATTTTAAACATCTTAGACAATGTGAGATCTCAATGTTTTATAAACCTACAGGAAAGCATTTATTTTCTGATAAGTGAGTTTAGTCTATTTAATGAATAACAAAATGTAACTAGACCAAACAAGTCATTTTTTGAAATAGCAATACTGTTTTTATTTATCATTATATGTTTTCTCCTTTGAAAGATTCTATCATGTTAGGTGTGCCTATTGCTGAGACTCATGTAGAGAATATATATGTTAAAAATAAAATATGACATGTTTAAATATGTGATATATTTTCTAATTCACATGAAGATAATCTGCTTTAGTCATTGAAGTTCTACTTAGTTCATTATCAATGCAATTTTTGCCAAGCATGATAAACATTTTAACATTTTGTTAGGGGTTTGTTTTGCAATAAAACATATATATGGAGCTCCTGATTCATAATAATTTTTACTGTTCTGTCTTAGCCTATTTCTTAGAAAACATGACACAATTCACAATTTAGATGTATTTGTCAGTTTGTGAATGATTTATTTCAAATTTTCTTCTCAAAGCAATAGAGAAACAGCTAAACTAATAGTTACAAAGGGATGTTTGAGATGTCTTAAATTATGTTTTCTCTCCATGAGTGTGGAAATTAAATAATTGGGTATACTTAATTTATTAGACAGTCCTATTAGAAAAAGACACGTGAATGATTTTGAAAGAACATGTTGTTTATGTTTTAAAATTTACCTAAATTCAAGTGCCTTGGTCTAAAAGCATCTAAAGACTTAACTTAGCTATTTTGACTAACTTTTTCTCCAATACATTTTGTCAGTCAGTATCACATCACTTACATACATCATTTGATATTTAATATTATTTTAAGCTTTAAACTGTTTGAGAGCTTTAGCTTACACATTTCAAGAATAACATACCTACATCATGAAATATGTGTAAAATATGTTTGTGAACTCATGTGACTTTCCTTCTCTCTCTATTTCTTATTCTCAAATTCCAGTCAAAATCCTTCCATTGATTTTTCAGGTTGGTGAGAGATTATTATTTTTTCCTTAGTAATTACCAATTTTGATTATTGCTGTTTGCTTTATAGGATCAAAGAGAATAAGTGACAGTGAAATCTCTGATTATGACTGTGATGATGGAATTGGTGTGGTGTCAGGTAAGAATTTCAGAAATATTTCATAATAAGAAGGAAGAGTAAATTCATCATTATTTACCAATAGATAGACAGACTGATAAAATGGGAAAGAAATAACTTGCCTCCTCATCTCACCAAAAAGAACCTTATGGTAATTTAAATTCCTGATTAGTTCTTATTGCTGGAACACCTGCACCAATTGTTAGATTGAATATTCATATGGAAATATTTTAGATAAGTGAATTCTTATTAATTTCCTGTTTTAAACCACTAAATAATAAGGATTTTTCTGTAATTTTGAGGAATTGTATAATTAAAAGTTCTTTACATACTGTGCTAACACTGTGAAAGAGAAGAAAACCTTTTTGAGATCACCAACATACCCAAATATGTCAAATATTAGAATAAGTATTTTGAATTTTTTTTTCATTGTTGTTGTGTTGGTTAAGTATCAGCTGCAGCTACTTTTGAACTTATGGCATTATCGTTTAAAATATTTGCTAATTCATTATTATAAATTATCGGATGATTTAAAATTTAGGTAAGTAGCCATTTAAAAAAAATAAATTCTGGAAAAAAACATATCACACTATACTCATTAATATTATAAAAATGTTTCTCTTCTTCTTGAAGGTAAATTAACCTAACAAATTTCAAGGGTACGACTAATTTTACCTTGAACAAAATGAGTTCTATTGCATGTAAAACATGCTACAGTTGCATCAATTATTGATAAGAATTTTTGTTTGGCAATTTTTGTTAGAGTTGCATCAGTTAACATGCTATCAGGTTACCTATTACTTTTTAAAAATTCCATGGCTATCTTTTAGTTTTTATTTTTGCACTAAGGGTGAACAATATATTAATTTACTAAAACTGCCAAAAATAATTTACATGTTTTATGGTTTGTGAATTAAACCTTTATAAAATGGCTTTGAAAAATATTTCTCATAGTCTCTGGCTTGGGAATAATAACAGTTTTCTCCCCAATTGTATTCTATTCCTTTAATAATTGATTTTTCCAGTTTTCTTTATCCTAAAAAATTTCCTTCAGGTTTTGAACTTCTTCATCTTGATGCCATTTTTGGCATATCTCAATTCTTTCATTTTCTATTTTCAGAATGGCAAAAATATGATCATTTTATTATTTTTCCATTCTGTTAAAGGAAGTGTATTTTTGAAAAAGAAATTTATAGGAATCTTTCATTAGTTGGGTTAATACTGTCTATATTTTTTCTTCTTTTCTATTACTGAATAGTGTTTAGAAAACCTGAATAATTCAAAGTATTTGCCCTGGGTTCCTTATTTTTCAACATCAGAAAAATCATCCTTGTTTCTACATTTTTCTTTCTGCCTATGTAAAGAATATAATAGTGAATCATTTGATAATCCGTTGAGGAATGTATTTGAATATTTGTCATTCTTTTTTAAGTGTTTACAAAGTATTATTATGTCTTAGTATTATACTATACCTTTACCATATTCAAAGGCGTCAGCTTCACCAACATTTTATGTTTTTCAGTAAAGTAGAAAATACAAAAGGACTTAGTGTGTAGGTAACTGTCATCTTAATCTTTCCACCTTTAGATTATCGACACAATGGTCGAGATCTTCAAAGCTCAACATTATCAGTGCCAGAACAAGTAATGTCATCCAACCACTGTTCACCATCAGGGTCTCCTCACCGAGTGGATGTTATAGGAAGGACTAGATCATGGTCACCCAGTGTCCCTCCTCCACAAAGGTAAGAGAGCATACACATTTTATTTGTAGGATGGTATTACAAGCCTTCTTATGGTAAAATACCATGAATAACCTCTAAAGATAATAAATTCTTGTGGAAAAAGTTACTTCAGGAAAAACAAAGATGCTATTGGATAACCTACATAATGAGAGTAAAATAAAATATAGTCTACTTCATGACTTTGGAAGACCCAGATCTTGTTTTATTGGAAGAGTTCAAAATTATAAACAGGATCCAGCTTGAAATCACTTATCAATATTGAGCAGATGTAGTTATGACCAACTTACTATACTCATAAATGGTAGAGATATTGATAACTTAAGGAACAGGAAAAAATAAACATGTGATGGTACTTTAAAATTAGGAACCATCATGTGAAGAGTTAAAGGGAAGGATGGCTTAGTAAATCTGTAGCTCCAGGTTTTACGCCTCGTGGAAAACTCTGATCAATCCAGGTAAGTACTGAAAGGCTTAATAGAGTTAGAGCCGTGGAAATAATATGCTTGCCATTAATAAATATGTGCATAATTCACAACTTATATACTTGAATATTGAAGAAATTTGAAATCTTTTGAATTTTAAAATTTGAACATTATAGCTCCTCTTATAAATGAATAATTGAATTAATTTTAGACTTGGAATTTTTAATCATAATCTTAATTTGATGCATGGTATGAACCATCTAAGAGAACTTGAGGTTTGTATTTATAAATTTAACTTATTTAATTTATAAGGATATTAAGTACTTAAAATGTTTACTTAAGTTTAGACATTGAAGAAATTAAAAAGGAAATGTAATATATTAACTTCATAAACATAGTTTAAAATGTTTGCAGATGTTGAGTTAACTAAGTTTGTCAGTGAAACTAAAATTATTGAGTTTTCTGAAAAGTAATTTCTTAAATGTGGTAGACTTCTCAATAGAGTGATATGATTAGGAGCTTATATAAAAGGCTTATTCTATCATGAAAAGGAAATAGATGATCCAGACCAAGAATAGTAGCTTAAAAAAATCATCATGATCAATTAGAAAGACTTCAGTTTAGGTTTTTTAAAACAATCATTATCCCTAAAATAGGATCTGGCAATATATTATCTATAAGCAACATGCTGAACTCATTTTCTCCACACTGATCAATTTTTCTGGCAGTATTTTTGTATCATTGAATATCACTACTAGAGACCTCAGAGTCCTGTATTAATAGCTTTGATAATCCTATCGCTATCCTTATCTCTGTTCTAGAACTAATCTCCTAACTTCACTGTCAGCCTCCAGTGGACATTTATACCATTAGCCAGAGGTACAACTAATTAGTTAAAACAAAACAAAAACCGTGGACTTGACATGATAGTAATTTTTGTCTTTTTCTACTGTATTTATTAATAAATCTCATTTGTCAGTATAGTACACGATTATGATTTTAATATATTTAATGGATCTTGCTATTTCAGTCGGAATGTGGACCAGGGACTTCGAGGGACACGCTCTACTACTGGCCATTATAATACAATTAGCCGAATGGATAGACATCGTGTCATGGATGACCATTATTCTCCAGACAGAGACAGGTGAATATGGTTAAATTCTCTTCTATCTTATTATAATCTCTGCCTTCAGGAAAAAGGGGTTACTATTAAATGTTTTCATTCTGAAATTTCTTAAACCCTATGTTTTCTTCACAATGCCTACATTCATTCTTATGACCCCCACATCATTAAAAAAAAAACTAAAACAAAACAAAACACAATAGTTTCTTTAGTAAGAAAAAATAAATCATCTTGCTCTTGCAATTCTGGGCCTTTGTTAAATCAAATTAGTAAGTTAGTAAATTTGCACATGAGGTTATAATGATAGTCATAATGAAAATGAGGTGTTTTATTATTTTTACCTTTTAATTATTATCTATAAAAATACTTCCATGAGACAATAGATTTTAGTCTGTTACATTCATAGGGAAATCAATGTGACTTTTATATACTTTTATATATACTTTTATATATGAGATAAGTCTGGTTTGTTTAGGAAACACAAAAACTGATTCATGAAGAGGTTCTTCCTCATGGCTTTAGCAAACTTTTTAAGCATCGTAAAGAATCATGCTGTTGATTGCTGTATTTGGAAGAATTCTCTGAATTTGCTCTATTAAATGTGACATACTTGGAATCAATGAATACATACATTAATTACTACTCATTTTTTAATTAGGCAAATTGATTAACTCTAATTCATGGTTTGTTGTTTATAAAATAAAAAATGCTATGATATTTTCCCCAAACTATCAAATGGCTTTGAAATAAGAAAAGAAAACGTAATTTACCATTCAAAGAATGTTGCGATAAAATAACAAGGGAACTCAGAAGTCCTTTTGTATGCTACCTAAACTAATTTTAGTAGAAATACTTGGGGGATTTAAATCAACTAATATGAGCTGTATCTGTCAATATCCTTAATTTGTTATGTCTACATACAGGGTTATATATTCAATTCATGCTTGTAATTTCATTGTTTTTTAGCACATGTTTTCTTTAATAGAGTAAAGCAAGTATTGGCTTTTGAGTCTGAGACCTAAGAAGAAATTAAGAAGTTATTAAATTAAAGTCTTTATCAGTGTTGAATGAAAGTTAGTGTAGTATATTACTTTTATTTGTTTGACTTTTTCATAGTTTTTTAGGTCTTTAGGTGTAACTCTAGGTATGCTACCTATAAAAATTTATGTTTATAAGTACAATAAGAATGAATGAAAGATAAACTATGTTGGCATGATTAGGAGTTGGAAGGAGTCCT